TGGGCGTGGGCGCGCGAGTGAGACGTTCCAGTGGGCGACCTTGCGGGTGGTTGGAAAACAGAAAGCCAAATATGATAACCATTTTTAGTTTTCTATTTAAGAAGTTAGAAAAATGAAAATATATATTAGAAAGAGAAAATTCTATGTAAAGTAGAGATGACAATAGTGTGAGGCGGGAGTGAGGATGCCTTATCTCATTCTTGTGCTTGTAAAAATTTTTAGACCATATCTCCACCTCGTTCTTCGATCCGAGAATCATAATCCAAGTTAAAGAATCCTCAATTGGGGATGAGGATATTCGCGAGAAAATTATTACATTTATAATTATTTTTAGAATTTTAAAAATAGAAAATGTAATAAATATATTGATTATTTTTAGAATTATTATTTACTAGTATAAAAAAGTAGTTTTAAAAACTATTTAATATTTTATTCACAATTTAGTAAATATGTTAATAGAATATATACTAATTATTGACGCGATCGGGACATGTATTTCGTATTCTTGGAGCGGGAAGCCGACCCTGCGGGGTATTTTGATCATTCCTAATGTAGAAACATGAAAATACAGGTTTGAAGAGATGTAAATAAACTTTTTAAAGATAAATTTTAGAGAAAAAAATAAGATTTAGAAAAAAAAAATAGTGAAAGAAAAGTTAAAGGATGGAGAGAGAAAGAGTAAAGTTAAGAGATAAGATATATTAAACACGAAAAAAAGAAGTTAGAAAGAGGGAAAGAAAAATTATAGTGAGAAAAAAAATTAGAGATAAAAACAAAATCTGAAATATACTATTTAGAGAAAATAAATAAATAAAAAGATAAATAAAAGTTATAAGGAAAGAAAATTGATCGAGAAAAGAATATATAATTTTGAGAGGAAAAATAGTTTAGGAAAAGTAGGAAAAGTTAGAAAAAAATGAAAGGTTTGAGATAGAAAATTTTGAGAAAATATTAAATTTTAGGGGGGAAAATAATAATAAATATTAAAAAATAGAAAAGTTTTAAAGAGAGAAATTAATATTTTTAGAAAGAGAAATTTAGGAAGAAAAAAATTTGTTATAGATAATATGTTAAAGAAAAAAAAAGTTGAGTATTAGAAGAAAGAAGGAGATTTTGAAAAACGAAAATATGTTTTTTTTTAAAAAAAATTATTTTCCTTTTGAAATTTATGTAGAATTTCAAAATCATTTTTTTTTAATGAATTGGTTATCAACTAGTCCTATTTTTCACAAACTAGAAACAAAAGAAAAAAAATAGAAAATAAAAATGGTTATCAAACTAAGCAAAATAATCAATCTCAAAAGTTTTAGAGATAAATTTTAGAAGGTGAGAGACAAAAATGGTGAAAAGAGAAATAAACATAGAACGAGGGGGTGATTAAAAATTTAGAAAGAACATGTTTCCACAAGTTCACAGAAAAACTGTTACTAATGGCCCGAAATGAAAAGTCAAAATTCTTTTAAAGACGTTCTTAAGGAATATCATCTTAGCTTTCGAAATCACACGAAGTAGCAATGCAAAACCAAATACAATGAGTAGTGGTGTCCTTAAACTAAGCCTCAGAAAAATCGTGATCAGGATAGTAGACCAAAAGCTATAGAATGTGAGAAACAAAATTAAAGATAAATAAAGTTAGAAAGAGACAAAAAATTTAGAAAGAAAAAATAAAATTTCTCCAAATTTAAAGTGAAAATAAGGTGGAATAGAAAGACACTGAAAGTTTAAAACAACAATCATTCCCTAATATTTTTTTTTAATAAAAATCACTTGGAGAATCACCTCCTAAATAATTGACTGAAAATCACTTGTGAATCATTATTAGAGATATACGTCAATTAACGGTGAACTATGCTCGCTTACTTATGAATCATTGTTAAACAAAAGTCATTTTAGCATTATTAAAATGACTCTAACTATGCCATAATCACTCTTAAACATTTCTTAAATCAATTGTGATAAAATTACTCTCTTTATTCAAAATTAAAAGTCATCCATTCTATAAAGATTAAAATTGTCCGGATAATAAATTTAAAAGCCATCCATTCCATAAAGATTAAAATTGTCGTCTTATAGCATCTCGATGATTAAGAAAGTCCGTAAATCTCTTTGTAAAAATAACGAAACTAACCAACAATTTATCCATCGATGATCTAAGTCAAGCCCGAGGATGCATAGGTTGATAATTGTTTATGGGTTGAAGAATGGTGCTACAACACAAAAACTAGTGAATCTATTTTTTTTTTTTT